ACACTCACGTTTCCAGATAGATAGGGATGAAGGTGGCTGCCTCTGCTTCTGAGCCGTGAGGTAGTTTGATGTTTTGAGGGTTAAAATGAGTCTGCAGAGCGTTTACTAATTGTGTTTCACCTCATAGGGCTTACAGTAGTAACGGCCTGACTTCAGTCCAGCAGGAATATGAGGCGTTTGAGGCTGTGCTGCCGTGCAGTGAGACGTGGACAGGCTGCAGAGGTGGGCAGGGAGGAACTGATGAGGTTTAACAAGAGCAGGAGTGGAGTCTGACACCTGGGGAGGAATAACCACATGTATCAGTACAGGTTAGGGGATGGATGACCTGATGGAGAGGAGCTCTGCGTGGAAGGACCTGCAGGTCCAGTGGCCAGCAGGCGGTCCATGAGTCAGCAGTGCACCCAGGAGGGCCGGTGGGATCCTGGGGTGCATCACTAAGAGTGCTGGGCAGCAGGTGAGGGAGGTGACCTGCCTTGGTGAGGCCACTTTTACAAAAAAAAAGTCCTGGAATCTGAGTCCACAACTGTTGCTGTCAGAGCACGTACGTGGATTTTTCTTTGGTTGTTTCCTCAGAATAAAAGCTATTGAGAAGAATTCTGCAAAACCTGAAAACACGGTATTAAAGGCTCAAATTGTGAGGGAGAGGCCCTTTGAGACTTTGGCACCTAAGAGAAAATATTATGTGCTGTTAAGCCCATCCCAGGGAAATCCAGTTTTCTGGTAGTGTGAGCCATTCTTCCGTGTTCAATATAAATATTTTTACATAATAACAACAGTGATAATCACTGCATTGTAACAAGTCTTACTATTAAAGGCTGAGGCAAAGAAGGCATTAGGTACTTCAGCCTTGTCCTTATCCTTGGTCACCAAGCTGCCCTTGGCATCCAACAACAAGGAGAGACTGAAGGAGCTGAGGCTGTTTAGTCTAGAGAAAAGGAGGCTGAGGGGAGACCTTATTACTCTCTTCCAATACCTGAAAGGTGCTTACAGTGAGAGCAGGGTTGGTCTCTTCTCACAGGTGGCAGGATGAGGGGAAATGGCCTCAAGTTGTGCCAGAGGAGGTTTAGGTTGGATATCAGGAAACATTTCTTTACAGAAAGTGTTGTTAAGCACTGGAATGGGCTCCTCAGGGAGGTGGTTGAGTCACCATCCCTGGATGAAACCATTTGGATGTGGTGCTCAGGGACGTGATTTAGCAGAGGGTTGTTGGAGTTAGGGTAGTATGGTCAGGTCGTGGTTGGACTCGATGGTCTTTAAGGTCTTTTCCAACCTGAATGATTCTATGATTCTGTTGTAATATCTGTACCTGTAGGATGCATATCCCTTTGCTGGAATGTAGAAGAGCAGTGAACCAGTAGAAATAGGGAGTTTTATACCAGAAGAATAATATATTCAGAAAGTCTTTGCTATTGTGAGAAGCTGCCAGTGGCTGAGGTAGGGCCTGTATGACTGTCTTTAGGCAGCTTTAGTGGTTTCTGTCCATAAAAGAGCGAGTGAAAGGAGCCCGTGAGCTGAGAAAAACATGCAGCAGTGCTTTCTATTTTGACAAAGGAATTTGAGAAGAGGTTTCAAGATTGGGAAAAAAAAAAAAAAATCAATTTTTTGGGTATATTTGTGACTCGATTTTCAGTCGACATAAATACCATGAATCCATGAATTTTCAAATGGAATGTAGAGAAAATCAGATATTCAACTCAAGAATCTGATCATGTTTCTCTACCAGAGAGAACCTCGCTGCACAATCTGCCTCATCAAGTCATCACTTTCTGGAAGTACAGACATTTGAGAAGAACTGCTTTCAAGGATGAAGCACAGGGAGAGTAAAATGTCATCAGAAATCTCTGATGAATGGCTCAGAGCTCACTGAGAATTGCAGCCACTGCCATCAAACCAGCCTGATGCAGCAGTGTCACAAAAACCTGGTCACATATCCTACTGGTGTGACGTTTTTGTTGCTCTTTTTTAGTATTTTAAATATTTTTTGTATAGCTTTCTTTAACAGTGAATGACCGAGTGCACCCTCAGTAAGTTTGCAGAAACCAGGAAGGCTCTGCAGAGTGGTATGGATAGGCTACATCAATGGGCTGAGATCAACCACAGTAATGAGACTAATCTGCACCCACTGACGTTCACCTGAATATTTTGAAACGTGAAAAGAACGTTGTCATGGTGCTCCAAGTTAGCAGTTCACAAGATCAGAGTTAATATCATAAATGCAATAAGTGCTGGGATGTGGCCATGGACAATAAATCAATCCTTTATCTACCTACTGAATGTCTACCTTGGCCCTTCAGAACTGAAGGCTTGATGAAGTTGGGGGTTTTTCAAAAGCATCCAGATACCTGAAGGAAATTAGACACTACTGGGCTTTGCATTTGTTGCAGATGTTTATGTACAGATCTTATCTCTAATATAATCCCTTGTTATTAAAAAATCAGGATTGGTTTGTCAACTCACCTTCATGATGAAAGCTGATGGCAGCTTACTGCAGCACTGAGTGCACATGGGATCTCTCTCCTTGCATGCACTCACAGGAGCTAAAAAACACACAGATACATCCAGTATGCAAATATTCATGCATTTTCTGTGAATTCCAAGAATTGCTATCCATATTAACATCTAATACTACGCATGCACTGTGTTCATATGGGGTTTTTGCAAGGGGTGGTTGTTGGGTTCAACTGGGAGATGCTATCCAGCCAAAAGGTCGTAAGCTAAATAGGTCACAACCCTCATTTGGTCACAGACTACTCACAGAAATTGGCTGCTGACTAAGTATAATGTTGTGGTGCCTGTAGTACCAGCCCAAGCAGGGCACGGTGTACATCTCCACAGCTTGTGGAACGCTGAGACTCTGCTTTTAGGCTCCAGATGTCCTGCTTATCACAGAAAAACAACCTTCCCCAGATGGAATGTCGGCTTGCTGAAGATTCTGAATTAATTGCTGGGCATCAAAGCTCTCAAGAATTTCCAATGTTGGAGCCTGATAATTGGATCCATTCTTAATAGATTTTAGTAAGTGTCAAGCAAGCCACTTTCGTGCTTAGGAATTTGCGATGAACAAGAATTGTTTGTTGGGTTCAGTAGTTTACATTTAAAATTCCAAACTGAATATAAGAAAGCTGTAAGGCACTTTCTTTGTGCTTTCTTCTCTGTTAAGGATGCACTCTACGAGACAGAAAGGGAGACAGCTAACACAGCTATGCTTTTCTTACTGTTGGAGTGGTGTTGGAATAAGATGTAGGTTGGGGAAAATAGTGGAACATAAACAGTTATGTGCAGCTTTTTTTTTATTAATTAAAAATGTTAGGCTGGTGAAATTATCACTAGCTATTAGGCTTCCCGATGTTCTAGACAAGGGCTTTTAAATCACTTTGGGGCTCCAAGTCTGCAGGAGCGTAAATCCCTGTTCTACCCTCTCTGTTTAGTGGAAGACAGGGATGGTCTGAATGTTCAGTGTAAAGCTGTTCTTATGCAGTGCCAAAACTGTTCTGTTTCTGCTGCCTGCGTGTAAGAGAGAAGAGCAAAAACCTGTCTGTTAGTTTAACAGTGTTCAGTGTTACTGGCGGTGTCAGAGACTGAAGCAGCTGAATACGTTGTCCTGCATCTGGAAAGGAGCCACAGGAGGGCATGGCTGCACTTGACAAAATGAACACTTTTTTTTTTATGGGCTTCCACTCAAGTTTGAAGGCGCTCACTGATAACTGAAAAGCTAATATTTGGGATCTGAATTTAAAAACTTCAAAAACTGAGTGGTCTTAGCAAAAGATGTTATGTCCCAAAGGCATTAATTAGGCATTCATAATCTCATTTCCTGTATTTTCACTTGAAAAAATCAATTGTCTGGCTTACAGACTCACCCGCATCCCTGTGAGTTTTATCATTATCTCTCTGTGGTTAAATGCTGTGATGAATCCCGTGCCTTCAGTTCTGAGCAGCCTTAATTCCAAGTGATTAACATGGCATCTGACATGACTTAACCTCACAGAAGATTCAGTAAGAGTTATGTCAGAGGCTTTTGGTGGGTATCAGCAAAATAAGGCTAGGACTTAGGTAGTCTTAAATAGTAAAGGTACTTCTCTGAGTGTTCAACCAATGGCTTCAGCTGTCTTAAAGGAAGAAATCTATCTTGGTTGAAGTATTTTGACACTCACAGACACAAGTACTGCAGCTGGACACCTTCCAAAAGTGTGTTTTGTCTGAAAAGCAATCACATCTTGTAGAACACTGGGTTACTCAGCAAAGCTATGTGCTTCTGCTCTGAGAATAACACAGAGTACATCATCCATCTGATTTATTGCCCATCTCATCTTTTCTTCAACTAGCTCCTTTAAAACAAAGCACAAATAAAGATACATTAATAGATGTCCTTTTCCTGATGCTAAATCCACTGTTAAATTCAGTATGAGCATAGATCAGATGGGTGACATCAACAGCAACTGCTGAGAAATGCTTTTTGTTTTGTTGCTGCCAACCTTTCTTGCAGCATTGCAGGTTTGTGTCAGTCTCCCTTCTCTTTTGCTGTAGTTAAAATCCATACAGACAATCTTTGCACACCTTACTGTGAAAAATGGAATTGCTGAAAGGTGAGTTTCTTTCACTTTATTGCTGATGCCAGTGCCAGATCCACAGTTTAGAACACAGCTACACTAAAAACATCTTCAAACTGTAAGCCCTATGCCTGCACTGAATCTCTGCTATTTAATTTATGGAGATAGGACAAAATGACATTTAAATTTCTAGAACTGTGTCTGTCTCTACTTTTTGGTTTGGAGAAATCATGAAGTTCTCAGAGAGATGTTTTCCTAATCCAGATTGGATCGGTTTGAAATAGTGAAAATCCCACTGGAACAGCCCAGAATCAAATGATCTGTAGTAGGTTGTATCTCTGGTGAAAGCTGTCTGAGAAGAGCAACAGCATTCATTGAATCACAGAACCACAGAATCACTGAGGCTGGAACAGACCTCCAAAATCATCTCATCCCGCCATCCACCTACCACCAGTATTTCCCCACTAAACCAATCACTAGCCCAAATTTTAGTTTTAAATTCAGATTCTAAACCATCTTGTGTCAGCATCTAAATGCCACTTCTTTGTCTTAGTTCTAGCCTGTGTGTAACCTACTAATGCAAAAAATACTCCCCAAACTTTCCATCCTCCTCTATTGGCATGCCAAAACTGGTATTGTTCTTGAAGTAGTAAGACAAACCGTGCCTTATGGCCACCCTGAGAATCATAAAATATCATTTTTATGAATAATTTAATATAATTCCTAGTTTTTATGAATAATTTAGTATCACGTTGCAGGCCGTGGCGGCTCCTCCCAATGGCTCTGGATTGGAGTTGCAGTGACACAGAGCAGCCAGCAGATGGCGCTCTCAGCACAGTCAAGAGAGGAATCCTCGTGTGAATCGAGGCAAACGCCAGGCGTGCAGAAACAGCGCTGAGAATTCTTTTACCATCGAGTATCGACCGCTGGTCCCTTTTAGTACACGTATATGAGAATGTCTACGTGCCAGCATTTTGCTTACCTGGAAATGTGTTCTCAGTGTGGAAGGAAATTGCCACATGACGCTCAGGAATGGTATATGGTAATGACACACATTTCTCCATGCTTTCCCAGCTTCTATATGTTATGCCTGTGCTTTAGTATGGTGCTGCAGGCAGGTACTGCTCAGGGTTTCGCATTGGCTTGGCTAAGGAAAACTGGTGCAAGTGCCTCCTTATTCTGAAGGTTCTGAATAACCGGGCATTGTCAGTATAGGCACGCCCTAATGCTTTGGTCTTTGTGTTGTTTTTTGATGGTAGGTCAGGAGGGTCACTGTTGCTACAGTCGTAGTACAGATGAGGTTATCGTGATCTTCTAACAAAGTCTTTTAACATATGAAGCTATACTTTGGCTACGTGTATCCAACTACTCCTTGGATGCCTGTGGGAACTGAGTGATTTGAGGACCATATTGCACAGTGAGAGCCAGCCCTGGAAGTCTTAGCCTGGACCGGCTGCCAGCAGATTCACTGGGTGCGTGTTGGCAGAGCCTGCTCCTAGTACAAACAGGAAGAATACTGAATGTCATCTGCTGCTGCCACTGTGCTATGTGTTCCCAAATAACGGATGTCTCTATATCTAAGCTAGATTTAACTACTGCTGGGTTTTTCCTTTATTTGATGTTTTAGCCTTTTTTAAAAGTTGCTGGGCATTAGGTGTTGTGTGGATGCATTTACAGAGTTCAGATTCACAGGAGAATTTCCTTTAAAAGAAAAGACTTAAAAGTCTACAGAGTCTGTAAGTGTCAGAGGTGTGGATGAGGAACAGCAGGGTACCCAATTCCCATTTTCAGCATATAGAATAATATTTCCTATAAATACAAACCTTAAGTTAGATATCTAAACACATAATTCCTGGTTTAAGTTAGCATTAAGCTTTCATAAGTAATGCATGCCCCTTTGTAGTGTGTTTCCAAATCCTTGTGACCTATTACTGCTCTGAAGAGCTTGTAATTTAGGAAAGTTTCATTAGATGTGCTGTTTGTAATGAACCTTAGAACTTCTTTCTGTCTTTGATAGATTTGAACCCTAATGCTAACCCTAGCGGCTGGTACTGCAGTGCTGTAGGAAAAACATCAGCTCTGTGTGCCCAGGAAGCAGGACCTTGCTAGGATGCCTTTGCAGTCATATCCACTGACCTCATCTTTTCCAAGGTAGGATTTCATTTAATTTAAGCTAATACTGTACATTCTGTAGCTCACCTGCTGTGCTGTGAATGGATTTCAATTGATGTTGAATGCCAAAAGGCATTTAATAAAATTCTGTTTGAAGGCAAGGGGGAAGTAGGAGGTGATAGTGATAAAATAAAGTGAGGAATAAAGCTTTTGAAAACTCTGGTTATGGTCACTGTTCTGTCAACACAGTCAGGAATAAATGACTCACGTGATGCATAATCTATGTAACATTGCAGCACGATTTTGCCTAACACTCAAGTGCCCTTTCCCTGAATTACTGCCAGCGAATTCCTAATTAACAAGGTCGATTTTCCCTTTTCTGCTTTTTACTGTCCATGCCATAGAATCACAGAATCACAGAATCATAGAATCACAAGGTTGGAAACGACCTGCAAGATCATGGAGTCCAACCATCCTCCCATCACCGTTGCTACCACAAGCACTAAGCCGTATCTCACAGCTCCTCATCCAGACTCCTCTTGAACACTGCCAGTCCACCACCTCCCTGTGCAGCCATTGCAGTGCCTGACCACTCTGTGAGAGAAAAAGTTCTTCCTCATGTCCAACCCAAACCTCTTCTAGTACAACTTGCGGCCATTCCCTCAGGTCCTGTTTGTTGCCTGGGAGAAGAGGCCAAACCCCTCCTCATCACAGCCTCCCTTCAGTTGCTAACCCTATCTTTGGATTTAAAGTTATTTGGATCTATGTGTTTTATTCAGCAAAATTCTCAGTTACTTCATTCTGGGGGGGTAGAGGGGGGAAAGCCACCGCTGCTGCTGATTGCCAAGCTCTAACAAACTGACTTGATCACATCCCTAGTTGGTTGGTGTGCTGCATTGCCCCCCTCCAAATGCAAACCTCACATGGGTCAGCCATAGGTATATGTATCAGTTTAATGAAGAAATTAGGCTCTTACAGGAGAGGTGCCACATTTGTGGGGTTTTTTTGTTTGTTTGGTTGGTTGGTTGGTTTTGGCCCCTTGTGTAAAAGAGGATTTCAAATTACAGATGTGAGAACAAGAGGAAATGTTACGAGTTCAGTTACAGAGCCAAGCACCCAGGATACTTACTGGAAGGAGGAAATGATAAGCCACACTTTCTGCCTTGTTGAATTCTTCTCTCTTGCAAAAAGCTCATTGGAAAAAATACAAAGCTCTTCCAAGATCCACTTGCCAAGTGAGTGCCCTTACTGCAAATAAATTGGTTTTGCTCCAAACTCCTTTGAGAAATGTCACGAGGGCTTAATAATACAATTTCTATTGCATTCTTGTCTTTGTGAGATGGTCTGTTCTGATCTCTCTCCAGCAAGTTTTATGGAGAAAAGGAGATGGCTAAAAATGAAGGTAAGTTTTTTTGTGTGCTTTTCTTCTTGCTTTCTTGTATTCCCTCAGCCCAATTATCCTCATACCTCAAATGATAGAAGGCAGGGAACAATCCTACCCTGGCAGAAGATGAATGATATTAGCACTGTGACTTAATACGGTGAATAAGGTCTATTTCCATCCTGCTGCAGTCCCATTGGAACCTATGAGTCACACTAAGAATGCTTGGCCTTATGTCTCCTCCTTCACTAAATTTTATGACTGTGAGTCTCCCTTCTGTGTTTCAGAGCTGTACAAGCAGTTTCCTGATTTGCACCATGACTGAAGCCTTTAGTAAGTAAGAGCCATTGGAAAAGCAGCTGTGGACTTACCTAGCCAACAAACTGAGCTCTCCCAGGCACTACTGCTTATATCCTTGTATCATACAGATGCCAAAGGTAGGTTTGATAATCTGGAATAAATAGATTTTGAATGAAGATCACAATGAAAGTGACATCAAATTTAAAAGGTCACATCATTTTTCAGTAATTCACCATTAGCCCCTGATGGAAGTGGAACTTCTGTGTTTATACTGTTTCTCTTATTACTGTTATTTCTGGAGTGCCACAGTGGCTGCAGTCATTTAGGCCTGATGATTTTTGTTCACTAAGTGTGGTTCTAATGATTGTTAAGAAGCATCAATGCAGAAGTGCAGTGCTCTGTGCTCGAGGTGATACTTGGCACAAGTGCAGGAAATGCTGCACAGCTTTCCTTCCTGCAATCAGTGGAGCTGCAAGCAGTAGCTTAGTGTTGTTTGGATCATAAACCATCTTGGAAGCAGGGAGGCAACTCCTGGTGTTTCATGTACTGTAGGAACACGAGGCCTTATCAAAGTAAAGGCCTTATTTAAAAAAGTAAAATAAACTTTTTCAATAAGACAGTACTAGAAAAGAAATCTCTGCTGGGCATCTTGCAAAGATTAGTCCTTGTATTTGTGGTAGTGCTGTGACCACATTCTCATTTTACCAGATATTGCTCAAATACCAGGAGACGGGCAGCAGAGATGAAAAGAAAACAAAGTATGTGTATTCAAGGATGTGGAAAGGTCACTGATAGATGTTTTTGATCTGGTTACTCTTCTGAATTTTAAAATAAACAAAGAAAAAAGCGAAGGGAGAGTGATGTGTTGATATCAGTTGAAACATTTAGAGGGGAGTATTCCGATTCAAGAGATTATCAGCTCATAGAAACACAGTCCATAGAATGCATCTTAAAGTCCCCCAGCGCCAGCTGCTGTGGGCTGGCTGCCCCCCACCAGCTCAGGCTGCCCAGGGCCCATCCAACCTGGCCTTGGGCACCTCCAGGGATGGGACACCCACAGCTCTCTGGGCAGCAATGCTAAGGCTTCACTGCCCTCTGAGTAAAGAATTCCCCCCTAACATCTACCCTATCTCCCCCTTCTTTTAGTTTAAAGCCATTCTCCCTTGTCCTGTCGCTATCAGACTATGTCAAAAGTCGCTCCCCTCCTCTGCCCCCCCTGAAGCTCCCTTAGGTACAAGAAGGCCACAGTGAGCTTTCCCTGGAGCCTTCTCTTCTCCAGGCAGAACAAGCCCAGCTCCTTCAGCCCTTCTTCATAGGAGTGGTCGGTGCTCCAGCTCCCTGAGCATCTTCGTGGCCCTCCTCTGGATGTAGGGCGGTTGACCGCAACCCTCTGGCTGTGACAATCCAATCGTTTATCCGCCAAACAGAGGGTATTCAAATCCAATTTAGAGACAAGGCTGTGGTGTGTGTCCATAGCAAAAGCCTTGCAGAAGTCCCAGTAGACCACCTCAGTTCCTCTTTGAGTTCATTTGGTCTATTAGGACTGGAATTAAAGAGCAAGAAAGATGGCTGTTGGGTGAATATCGTCCAGGTTTGTGGGTAAGCTAAGCAGCTACTTGTTTGGCAATCTTATGTTTTGGGCTATTTTATTTATGCTTGAACAAAAATGTAAGGTGGCTGCTAGATGCCCCTGTGCCTTGCAAGGAGCTGGAGGCACCTAACCCAGCTCACCTGTTAATTTGCTGTGCCTGCTGCCATAGCTATCACCAGGGTTAGAATGCAGTGCTATTGCAGACAGCTCACAGCTGGTGAGAGCTCTCTTCTCCGCTGTTGCTCAGGCAACAAGCTCAGTCAGGCACAGAAAGAACTGTGGGAGTGGAAGGAGGAAGGTTTCCCAGGGAGGTAGAAAGGGTGGAGGGCAGAGGAGGGGGGAAGGTAGATATTGGAGAAAGTATTTGCCATTATTATTGCATAGACAACGGAGAAAAACAGGGTATCAGAGGTTGCTACAAAGCACTTCAACTGAGCTTATTTCTGCATCTCCCATTTGGCATATTTTCTTCCTCTCTCCTGGGTTTTGCAAGAGATAAGATGTTAGAATTTTCCCCTGTAATTTTTCTTAACAAGTCATTTAGTTACCTTTACTGGTAAACTTAGTATGAATCATCTGATCTAGTCAAATGCAAGCTGAGGTTTCTGTTGGCCGACAGCAAGGCTGTTCAGGCATACCCTTGCATCCTTCAGGGGAAAAATAAGACATGGAGGAGCTGTTGTTGGCACCTGGAGCACCTTACAGCTCTTGTTACATGAAGGCTTTTGGGAACTGGCTTGCTGGGCAAGGAAAGGTGATGCTGTGATCGTCCTTTAGGAGCAGAGAAAATAATAACTAAACAGCAGAACTAAAGAACACCCTTTCTATCAGTGTTTCTACAAATGCATTTGCAGTATCAGTATCATTATCAAAAGTGTTAAAGGGGAAGAGTCATTACTTAAATTCATTTAAACTTAACACCAACGAAGAATAAACAAATTTCTTATTTTAAATATTCCTCTTCACCACCATTTTTAATAATTATTCTTATTTCATCGCTAACCAAACATTAACACAAGGTAGGCTTCACTGCATACTGCCTTTGCAATTCTGATTTCCAATGAACTGCTGCCAATCTGCCAAGCTGATCACATCTAATAAGGGCTGCAGGCTTATCCACCTGAAGGCTAACTTCATGCATATCTTACTGCTTCTCTGTTAGCTGGTTTGCAAACACACACGCATCACAAAGCTATACTTTGTCTAACACTGTCCATATGCAAAAGAAGTGTTTTATTTTTTTCAACTTGCATTGTGGTCAGAGATCCTTTTGATCCCTAGATGGCTCTTTTTGTTCTTCAATGTATTGTTTGAGTCAACCTTCTTGTTTTCATAGTAGTTTTGAGAAGGTTTTGATGTGAGAGTGTTATGGGAAGAACAGGAGGTGAGAGCTCGTAAAAGGGAAGCAGTTACTTGGGGTTTTGTGTGTTATGGTAGAGCATCCAGGGTTTCATATTTGAGAAGCTGCTGCCAGTTCTTGCTGCCGGTGAGAGATTACTCCATAAAGAATGCAATTTTCACACAGTAGAGTACATAAATTGTTGCTTTTGTTTTGTTACCTCTTTAGACAGTGAAAGAATGGGTGGCTCGTGGAAAGGAACAGCAAAGGAGAATACTGCACATAAGGAGAAAAAAACTGACAGAAGGAAAAAACTGAAAGAACAGGCTTCGATGGCAGTGAGAAAGGAGGAGATATAAGGATGAAGTTTAATAGTATTTTTGAACATGCTTGCAACAGAACAGCGACAAAGGTGAGATACGTAGGAATGATAGAAGATAAAGAAATTTAAGGAAGCACAGAAAAAAATTGAGCTGGGAAAAATAATAATAAAAGAAATGGGTGTTTCTGGATAAGCAGTGGGAAAACGACCACTATATTTGAAGGAGTGTCAGAAGGCAAACATCTTTATTCTTCAGGTAGGAAAGACTGCCTCCCAGTGGCCCATCGAGTGATGGATGTAATAGCTTTTCTGTGTTTCATTTTGAGTTGCTGTTGGTGCTTTCAAAGAGTGATGTGGCAAATATCTAGAAGAAGGGAGTCCTGGTTGTTGCTGTTGTGGGTTTTTTTTTAAGTATATTTCCTTTTTCTGTGTGTTTTCAGTAAAATGAGATATGGAAACCCAAAGAATGAGTGGAATTATTTGCAGTCATATGAGTATTGAAGCATCAGGAGAAAAATAAATGACACTGATTGTGTGGAGGTATTTCTTAACAGAGTGAACATGGGGAAAGTGTTGCCCGTGGGATATTAAATTTTTGTCTTCTGGGATATTTGTACCTGAGATGGGCAGAAGAGCAGAAAGGGGACTGGTGATATCTGAGAGTCTTGGCTGTGTGAGCGTGGGTGATGCAGAACCACAGTGCTGCACCATGTACAGCAGAACCATTGTGTTGCTATGAAAGCACTGCTTTCCCTGCATTTGCAGTAGGTCTGTATCTTAAATTAGGCTCAGAAAGAAGTGATGTTGTGTGAATTTGAATCCAAGCAGTTGCATTCCAGGCTGGAATCTGCAATGCAATCAGGATCTGACAGCTGCTTGTGAAATGTCTGAATAGAGAGGTTATATTCAGAATTATCCTTCAGCACCAAGTATGGGCATAAGTATTCTTGTGCAGAAGGATTTATACATCTCTTATGAGTTGCACATCCTAAATCCTCTTTACCCCGAGATGCATGCAGTGCTGGTTTTAGTTATTCTTGGAGTTGACCCTTTGGTAAAAACACATTTGGGAGGATATAATCCCACAATAGTTGTACACGTGCTGCTGCTACACCCAGCTATTAAAAATACTTCTAATTTCCATTCAGTGAGTATACTTGATTTGTCTTCATAGCTGTGGTTGTGTGGGAATGTGTTTGTATTTTTCATTAGCTACTGTTTCCAAATGGAGTTTTGTGTCATCGGCAGAGAATTTCAGAGCTGAATTTCTTCCTCATTCCAGGGCCTGCATGTGGCAGAAGTTCTGTTTGAAGAAGGCCAGCTAAGTGGTCTTCCTGTTCAAAAATGGTTCTGGAAATCCCCCTGATTCATCCATTTGTAAATTTAGATTCCGTTTGTCACACATGAAAAATGCCTTAGCTCTCTAGAGCCCAATGGGATTATCTGACTCCTAGAGGTATTTATTCCGCTGGGTTTTGGCTGACAGAGACCTGTGCAACCAGCAGCCTGTTCCTTCTAGAAATGTGCTTCCATAATCAGCACGGGGGGGTAAGTCTAGCCCAGGGCTGGCATGCAGTGGAACCCCACATCCACATTCTGAGCCGCAGGGCAGCAGGGACTCATGGCTGGGAGTCCAGATCTTACACCACGTATGCTTTTAGCTCATACTGAGAAGGTGGACCGCAGTCTGGCCAGAACGACTTCAAGCTTAGAGTCATTTTCACCATCAAGAACAAGTCGTTGTGATCTGGGCGTTTAACATCTCTGACGTTACCACAAAATATGACAATAGTAACGGACCGGCAGATGGCGCCCACGAATGCTGAGAGCAGAGCCAGCAGGGCCCCCTCATTTGCTTTCCTGCACGCGTCCTCCACGCAGCTTTGAAGAATCTCTGCTCAGCGTGTCTTCCTAAATTAATTTGTAGAACAGCAAGAGGTGCATCCGATTGATAACACTGATTGCTATGTGCAAGAACTGAAATTGTCTGGAAGTTGGCTGTGGGGAGAAGTGGCTTTGCAGTACTGCAGGATTCCAGAGGGATCGGCCACGACTGGAGGAAAAAATCCCTTCCTTGTTCCAGATGAGGCTTCGCTTCCGTGCAGTGACTTCTCTGAAACCAACGTGAATAGCAAACAAAGCCCTTATAAAGCTTTGCAGAAGAGCAGTTAATTACAAATAATGTCTTGGGTGGGTCTAGCTGGAATGGTATGTCAGGAATGAGTTTTCTTGCTTAGTCATGCTTCACAACATATGTTCAAACATACTCTTTTACCCTCATAAATATTGGAGAGAATAAAATATCCTGTCTTATCCCTGCTTCTCTTGCTCTCAGCACTCAGATGCAATGTACAGAGAGATTAAAAATGGATTAAATAAGCGCTCCTGGGGGAACAGAGAACTCTGGGAATAGTGCTCTGGCCTACTAATTGTGAAGGATGTGGGAAAAAAACAGCCCAGCCCTTTTTCACATTTGGATAAGCACAGTATTTGCAATGGCTTTTGCCTGACTTAGAGCTTTCTTTTTGTTCCTTCCCCCCCCTTTTCTTTCCATCTGGTTCGGTTATCTCCCCAGTTCTATGCAGACATCCTTCCCTGACGTATCCCAGATGCCTTAAAATGTCAGTAGGATTGGAAATAAAACTGTGACTGATACAACAATGTTCAAACCTTTGTGTAGTTCCAACCTATCACAATAAAATGTTTGAGTTTCAGGCAATTTATTCTCTAGGGCAGCTTTCTCTGCCTGTTTGCAGAGAAGTTGTTTGAGAACATTATTGTTGGATTAAATGGCAGTGCCATACAGAGTGAGTCCTTAGCATGTATGTATCTTTTACACCCATTTTCATTTGTTATTGTGTGTTTCCTCAATGATGGGGATGGAAGGTAGTCAGAGCACCTAATGCTTGCAAGTTGCTTAGTGTCTTAATGACAGCAATAGATTACAAATATTCCCGGGAACTAAATTTCTCTTTGTGAAGTGGGGCTGTTGTGACACAGCCTGACTAGAGAGTGACAGTGACAATGTACACTGTCCTACACTTGGTTTCTATGGAGAAAGATAACACTGGTGACTAAGGGCAAAATGTCAGCGTCTCGATTTTTAGCAGCTGAATCTATTCTGTCTGTCTCCTGCCAAAGAGCCTATTAAACCTTTTAGCATTATGCTGTCTGTGACACGAGGAGTTGGTCCCATTTATACTAATAGCTTTACTGTGACAGAGTAGCTTGAATACCCTTCATTAGTCCTACAGACAAATTCCTGTGTAGTATATGGAACATAAATTGCTTAAAATGTGTCCTTGGTGTATTATAGTGTGTAGTGTGTTAACTATTTATGTGCATTTAATATATAGCAGAAATCCAGCGTTACCCTTCTGTCCACAATTATTATGTAAAATGCTATGCTGCTGATTCAAAAAAAAAACACCTACCAAGCAAAAGAAGTCAGAGGTGGGTGTGTAATCTGTGAACATTTACCAGGAGTTAAAGCAAAACTTCAGCAGTGGAACATTTCAGATGCTATGCAAAGTGTTGCAGCTCACTGTGCACAACTTGGAGAAACGTATGCAGGACAATTTTGTTGAGCAGCAGATGCTTTCAGAGTGTCCAGAAGAAGCATTGTGGTGCATGGTATTGTGTAATAAAATAGAAAAAAAAGGAAAAATTGGTTCCCTGAAAGAGTGGTGAGTGCTGGAACAGCTGCCCAGGAGGTGGTGGTGTCACTGTGCTTGGAGGTGTTAAAGAAATGCTTAGGTGTTGTACTGAGGGATGTGGTTTAGTGGGGAAACATTGGTGGTGGGTGGACAGTTGGACTGGATGATTTTTTCCAACCTTGGTTCTTCCATGGTATTATTCCACACCCAGTGATAACCCTGACCTTTGGTAAAACAGACCTATGTTCTAGGTTACCCAAACAACGAAATAAACAAACTCAGAAACAAGGTGTGCATGAGTGAGCAGAGAGGGAAATTTGCCCCAATTTGCCTACATAATTCTAGTCTACCTTCCCTCGTAGATGGTTATTACATAGATTGCAATCATGTAATCACGTACTGTGGGAAACAGCTCAGCACAACTGTGTCGTGATTTCTGCAGTGCCTTGTCCATGCTTGTAGTTCCATGCTGTGCAAGCCTTTACAATCCCACACATTTATTTCGTGCATTTCAGGTCTCTTAAACTTTCCCTGAAAGCAATTGCATAATTTAACAGCTTATTTCCTGCAAACATCCATTGGCCACTGTGTTTACTTTCTAGTTTGCTATTGGTTGGGGCAGTAATTGCTGCATATCTGAAGTATTATGAAAGAGTTGAAGCTATGTTTCTTTTACTAGTCTAGTTTTTCATACATAATAATTGGTAATTTTGTGTATTGTTTGCAGAGAATCACAGAATCACAGAATGGCCAGGGTTGGAAGGGACCTCAAAGATCATGAATCTCCAACCCCCTGCCACATGCAGGGCCACCAACCTCCACATTTAGCCTAGGCCAGGCTGCCCAGCACTCCATCCAACCTGGCCTTGAACACCTCCAGGGATGGACGGGGCATCACAGCCTCTCTGGGCAGCTGTTCCAGCACCTCACCACTCTCATAGTAAAGAACTTCCCCCTGACATCCAACCTCAATCTCCCCTCCCTCAACTTCAAACCATTTCCCCTTGTCCTGCAGTTATCTCCCCTTTCAAAGAGTTGACTCCCCTCCTGTTTGCAGGCTCCCTTTAGGTACTGAAGGCTGCAATGAGGTCACCCCGCAGCCTTCTTTTCTCCAGGCTGAACAAGCCCAGCTCCCTCAGCCTGTCTTTGTAGGGGAGGTGCTCCAGCCCACTTCGTGGCTCTCCTCTGGAGTCTTGTGGCTTTCCTCTCAGAGACACCACTGTGCTTTATCTGCCCACGTCTTTAATATCACTGCTTAAATGAAGTTTTCCTCTGTCAGCCTTTCAAGTCCCCTTGGGCAGGCTGAGAAGTCTGGGCTGATAGAAGATTTTGCTCCCACAGCTGCAGTCTGGGGATGCATACCATCAATTTCTGGTCCTCATGTGCTGTTATACATGTGGTGTCTTCCCATTCTCACAGGGAAGCAGTTTATGTGTGTGAGCCCTTTCTATCACCAAGATGCATGGATGCCTTTGTACCCAGCTAGTTAGCTTGCTGTTACTTCCAGGCTTTGATTCGGTGTCAAATGAACTTATCTTCAGAACTCTAGGAAAAACAATACGTCAGAAGAGAGAAACTCAGCGTTACTTAAACCAGCATGCTTTTCAGGAAAACGAGATATGCAAGTTCCTTTGGATTTCTTCCTGTCAGCCTGCAGTTACAGCATGTGATTGCTGGCCTGTTCTTCACTCAGCCTTTTGCTTCCTGATGGGCATTTCACTCAGCTTCCTGATGGGCACTGCAATGCAACCTTAAAATATGTGTGTTATTGTCATACCATCTGTGTATCACACATGCGTTGGTTTTGGTTTTCATTTTCATGAGAGTTTATTGTGTATTTTCTTGTCACAGAAGGCTTCTCCATTCAACTTTCCTTGGAAGAAGTTTCCCAGTTACTCCAAGTGCTTACAGGATTGCAGAAAGCATTCTTGCTGCAGCTCTCACCCCTCCTGTTAGGTGGCTGAAGTTACCCTAACAAATGACTTGAGGGGCACACGAG